TAGCTCATTGGATACTTAGTACAAGTGTAGCCATCTATGTGTAAAAACAATCGAACAAGTCAACTCACAGTGGGTATGGCATGTACATACATGCCATCCCCGGTGGCAATGGGTTAAAATGATAATCAAATACAAATGAAAAAATTAATTAGCTAATTAATAAACATAAATGTTAATAAATGTAGATATATACATAGTACATATATAAAATAAATAAGCATATAAATAACTGAATAAATAAATAAGTAATTAAAAAAGAGAAAGAAAGAAACATGCAAAAGTAAATAAAATAAATAAATAAACAGCATACAAGATAAATCAACAAGTGTAAATAAAAAAGAAAATAACTGAATAAGGATAATAAACAAAGCTAGAAAGCACTCAAAGCCCAAGCTTCTTCCATGACACAAAACTCTTGCTTTGAAATAAACAACTCAACCATATCTTTTCAACAAAGAAAATTAACTTCCCTGCTGATCTATTTTTTGCTAAATCAAACTGACCGAATTCTCTCATTGGCTCCCAGATCTATATGGAGTTGTGGTTAAAGAACAAAAGCTAATCAACTGATTAGGTCATGATCCATAATAAATAAATAATTTAATAAAGTGGGCACACATCAAGTGATGCCTCGCCACAACCTATAGGTTCTATCGGTCACTACCTCCCATGTGCTAGGAATTGTTGGCATCCTAGTCATTCACAGTGCCAGAGAGGCTTGAACTCCTGTAAACTAGTACTCGGGATTGTTATCCCCACTGAGTCTTTGAGCACACATGACCCCATCCATAAATTTTCAGAACAATTAATGTATAATTTTTTGTGCAATCCTCCTGACAAAAAAGTTAACCAACACAGGAAGACTGCCATTCACATAACTCCAGCAGATTTGAAAACTGTAAATAATTTTTTAAAATAAGATAATAATAATAATAATAATAATAATAAATAGTAAATAATAAATAATAAATAATAAATAATAAATAATAAATAATAAATAATAAATAATAGATAATAAATAATAAATAATAAATAATAAATAATAAATAATAAATAATAATTCCTAAATAAATAAAGAGAAACAATGAAAAGCACTATAGCTTCACACATGAAATCAGGACATATAAAGGAGAAATCCATAAATAGTTACCTGAATTGTGAGGGCTGCAGACCTGGAGGACTTCTCTTGATGGCAAACATGTTCAATGCTTGTTCTGGTCTCTTAAATGCATGGCATACTAAGAGGAAGGAACAGACTAGCATTGCAGTTGAAGCTTTCCCATCCTGATTGCATATAAAATAAATAAATAAACAGCATACAAGATAAATCAACAAGTGTAAATAAAAAAGAAAATAACTGAATAAGGATAATAAACAAAGCTAGAAAGCACTCAAAGCCCAAGCTTCTTCCATGACACAAAACTCTTGCTTTGAAATAACGATTAGGTCATGATCATAATAAATAATAATTTAATAAAGTGGGCACACATCAAGTGATGCCTCGCCACAACCTACAGGTTCTATCGGTCACTACCTCCCATGTGCTAGGAATTGTTGGCATCCTAGTCATTCACAGTGCCAGAGAGGCTTGAACTCGTGTAAACTAGTACTCGGGATTGTTATCCCCACTGAGCCTTTGAGCACACATGACCCATCCATAAATTTTCAGAACAATTAATGTATAATTTTTTGTGCAATCCTCCTGACAAAAAAGTTAACCAACACAGGAAGACTGCCATTCACATAACTCCAGCAGATTTGAAAACTGTAAATAATTTTTTAAAATAAGATAAATAATAATAAATAATAAATAATAATTCCTAAATAAATAAAGAAAAACAATGAAAAGCACTATAGCTTCACACATGAAATCAGGACATATAAAGGAGAAATCCATAAATAGTTACCTGAATTGTGAGGGCTGCAGACCTGGAGGACTTCTCTTGATGGCAAACATGTTCAATGCTTGTTCTGGTCTCTTAAATGCATGGCATACTAAGAGGAAGGAACAGACTAGCATTGCAGTTGAAGCTTTCCCATCCTGATTGCATATAAAATAAATAAAATATATAGATACTGGCATGAAGTGGAATTCCAAAGCCTTACATTTCTAAATTACCTTAAAGATTACTTTGAAATCAATACATTTACAATATCATAATAAAAAAAATAATATTTCACATTCAACTAACAAATCTATAATCTTGAAACTCCTTTTACCTACCATGCAGTGTACAGCAACAATATTTTTGGGATCCTTAATTAAATAATCATAAATACTACAAGCGAGGTTGTAGAGCGCCCCTAGAGTTGGTGACTTCTTGCCTGACCAGTTGCCCTCCACAACTCTAGCACTGAACTTGGTTGAGTGGTACTGTCGCCCAGAGACATTATAGATCACATAATGGCCCATGTGACGCCCGTCTAAAACAGCTGGGGTGAAACAGAAGGATCATCAACAAAGGCAACATACATACAGCCAAATAGGTGTCAAAGAGAACAATTATGGGAGACAACAGTTGAAAGTAAAATGGTCAAAAATAAAAGTAAAACACATAAAATATATATAATCACAAATTTATGAAAGAAAACATGTGAACAATTTAACAGCTACTGAATATATCTTTAAAACACACTATAGATCGAATGGCAGATTTAATATCAACAATAGTTTACCTTTAACATCTTCAACATGGTTTCTGTAGGCTGATTCTAGACCTTCAGCTGGATATGACATTGCTATGACACGAGATGTTATATGTGATAAATCCAAGTCTGTTCTAGTGATAGATCTGCAGAAAGTGGAAAACAAAGGAATATTACAAACTAGCAAATTCAAAGTTTTCAACTCTACTGTATATCCATAACTGTGAGATTTAAAGAACATTATTTGATAATTTTCTAACTAAATAAGAACTACAATAGAAATTTTCCCAAGGCAAAAAAATATACATACTGGCTCACTGTCTGCATGACTTTGCTTGAGGTATCCTTGATGTTTTTAAATATACTTCCTGAATAGCCCTTAATTGATGAAAACAAGCCACCTCCACCTGCAGACGTCTGCTGCTGAGACTGGCCTACCATTCCTGCAATCATTAACAATAGTCAAATGAGCATGCATCAAATCCTCATATAAAGTGTGACCTCAAATAAATGATGGACAGCAGAATTCAATTCATGTTCAGTACTGTGCAACTTCTGACTCTGAAAGCATTTTTGTTATACTGAAGGTTTATGATTTTATTCTTTTCCCATGTTGGCATAAAAAGGTACTAATCCTGATAGAGATCAATGTGTCTAAATGAACTAGATTAAGACACATCAACAACCAACATCAGTAAAGAAAACAACTTGGTTTGCACAAAACAAAGTCCATCCCACCCTAAGAAACAAAACTAAAAAAAAACTTTTTACAGAAAGCCAGTTTAAATTATCAACATAGTTCTGTTATGATGTTATTTCATACTTCACATCTTCTATCACTTTGGCAGAAACCAGCATATCCACTTACATGACTTGCAAAAGATTCTCCATCACAAAGTTTGGTTTTCATCTATAGTACACCTTGTTTTACTATTATACCATAACCTTACCACTTTTCACAATACAGTGTAAGCTACACTACACATGCTAGCAACAGTTATACAATACCAATGCAGCTGACTGTGGGCCACAAGTGGACTGACTCAACTGCCTACAATGCTGTTAGTAAGAGCCTGCACAAGGGAGTTGCCAACTATGTACATGCTTGCTAAACTGTCTGCCAAAAAAATCTGGCATGATAAACTGTTGTGCCAACACTTCTTTTCCTCATTATAGTATCAGCTGCGTTACAGCATTGCTACTCAAGGGGGTTCCTGTTCAGACTTTGGGCCAATGACTTGTCTCATTTGTTATTGGAATCACTATTTAGTTTTTTGTCTTTGAAAGACACAATTACCAACCAATTGGATTTAAATTGAAAAGCTTGCCATCTCCCACCATAAAATCTCTTTGTAAGTCAGTAAATGTGGGCCATGCTATTATTCACTGTGGGTACAGTGGCACTAGTTTGGAGAACCACCAAAAAATAAATAAATAAATAAATAAATAAATAAATAAACAAATAAATAAATAAATTCCAAACTGCCAACTATATAAATAAAATACATCAGTTCCAGTGCTCCTGCAGAAGCACTTTATACAGATAACTGCTTTATGTACAACTTAAACAATTTTGGATTTATATATATAATCAGAACATATTTCTAAATTTGAAATTTTAGTTTGAAAACTTTGATGACAATTTTCCTTGGATTACACAAAGGACAACAGAAAATTCAAGCAAATAAAATATCCTACACCATTTTAATCAGTACCTCCTTTCATGTAATAAGTAAATTAACCCCTACAATCCGGACAACAGGACTATCACATCGTGAAAATAATTGGCTAGAGGGGTGGGTGGCATGAAAATGCCATCATGGGAAAATTAGGTTGTAAGTTGCCATCATGAGCATTTGAGCTGATGGCCGTGGTGACTGGAATTACTCGCCATGAGTGAACAAAGCTCTCAGAGGGCTCTTGCATTATTCCTATTGATAAACGATTGTGGAATGTATCATTCATTAGCCGTGACTGGAAGAGTGCCGGCTCTAGGGGGGAGGTTATTTCCATGCTCAGGATCCTATTCCTGGCTACCATGACTGGCAGTGTAGGCTGTATTACAGAAGCTTGAATATTAAGAAAATATGTAAAAAAATTACACAAAAGTTACTAATTGCTATTATCATTGCAATGAGTTATGGATTACCAAAAATGGCAGGAAAGGAGAAAATAATTGCAAAGGGGTGGAATGTAGTCTTGAAACCACACACAAGTGTTTGTGTGGCCTACAAGCCTCACACCCTTCAGAGTGGTGGCTCAAGTAAACCTAATGCCCGCATTTTGGGCCTCATGATGGCATAATATGACCACTAAATAATATAAATTTCAAATAAACTGAATCACCACCTTCATATTAATACTTAAAACAAGTAGAATGACCTTAAAAGACTACCAGTTTCCAAAGATTAGCCCCACTCCCCTAAGAATTGGTTCTTTTATCTCCTCCTTTTCAAACAAATAAATACAATCCCTTTATGAAATATCAACATGATCCCTCATAAGTATCTATGCAAGTACCAAATATAACCCATCTTCTACAAGCAATCTAACATAGTGCTCCTTATGGTCACACCACATACAACCTTTTCTATTTCAGTTTCTGCACTTCCTGTTTCATGTTTCTGCTGACTTTGACACTAAGAAACTATCAGAAATATACAGGCTAGTGCATTTGCCCTCTGTAAAAGGAGGTGTTCCATCACTGCCCATGCTCTCCAGTAAAAACAAAAAGTGACTGGCCTCCTATGAAGACTAAAATCTTCTAATAAGAATATAAGCTTCCTTGATATGAACTCTTTTCAAACACTGGTAATATATGAGAAGTACTACACACCCTGACTGAAAGTTCTGATCCCATATCAGTGCAAACATTAATTTATTGTTATTTATATGTACTGTCCTTATTTTTTTATATATACGTTATAATGGTAAAAAAATATATCCTCATAATTCATTATTAACAAAAAAAACCAAAGAAAGGTTCATTCATACCATGTTGAGGATGAGAGCCTGGAGGAGGCGGCCTCTGGGGCTGAGGGGGTCTCTGAGGTACAGGAGATCGCGGGGCTGGGGGTCTGGCAGGAGGTCGATCTGGGGCACCTGAGCGTCTCTCACCAAGCCTCCCGTTACTCTCAGGTTGATGAACTAGAAAATACAAGTTCAGATGACACGACCCTTTGATTTCTGTTTGTTAAATTAAGGTATTTTTTTTTAGTATGGCATGCTGAATGAGACAGAAAAACAACAAATTCATTTTAAAAAACTCATCAGATATGAAAATGTTATGGATGCATTTCATTTCCATTTCTTTTCTCATATATAGTTAGATTACGTAAACTACAAAGACAACAATATGGTTCTTAAAAAATAATTATGAAAATCTAACAAAACAATTAATGAAATTCAACACGAATTAGTCTTTAGGAAGAACACTGACTTCTAACAAGAACTGTCACAGAAAGAGAAATACCAGTTTAAATCTTCCTAAAACTAGGAAAAAAATTGTATCTATTTTATGATTCTTTTACAAATTTGATGACTATAGACAAGCAAAAATGCAAATATGAAAAACAACTTTTGTCAATTCATAATAAATGAGACCAAGTAACCGACAACAAAAACATTGTCTAAAACTTCAAACAGTACAATTAATATATCTGCAAATGATTCAGAGTTCTGAAAGAAGAACACATTACTACATATCATAACTCAAATTCACAAGAACGGCTATGCATATCAGGCACCTATACCCATGCCGATCTTAAACAATACTCCTTCAACAATTTCAAAATATGCAAGAGGAATAAAACCCTTCCTTACCTGGTGTTGTCAAATCGATCTTCTTGCACTCAATCTGGATGGGAGCTTTCATACTAAATCCTTTGGTTTCTCCAATAGCTGCCAGTCTCTCCAAGATATCGGAGACCTTAAATCTCTCACTTGGGTCAACTTTCAGGGTACCTCTAATGAGCTCATGGAAACACTCATACTTGGCATCATTAGTGGGAATTGCATAATTTCCATTTATAATTCTGGAAAGAAATTAAGAAAATTGTTAAACAATAAAAAGGTGATGGGTTTAGGAAGGGTTATATTTCTGTTGATGATTAATAACAGAAAATATAAGTGCTTTAATAAAAGCTAATTACAGCTGCATTGGGACTCTATCATGCTATAACCTGAATTAGTTAACATCTCCCTCTAGCACCTATATATCTTTCAATAAATATCTTCAACACCATCTATTTTTTCAGTAACTTTGAAATGGATTCTGAAAATATAAGAGTTCTGCAAATAAAATGGACTTCACATAATTTAGGACAATTTCTATTTGCAAACTTATAACCCTATTAATGTTCCCTTTAATATCAAAGCTTTTTTTTCATGCTAATATGCTTTTATGATGGGTAAAAAAAAAAATCTCTCTTTTTAATGATACGAGCAATGTGTGCAAAATACTGGGTACACTTTCCTAATTTTTTTTTCCTTACAAAAGAAAGCTGTTGCCAGGTTGTTCAATTCACCTTCTTAATTTGCAATCTAGTATTTTTTGCAATAAAATTTCAACAGAAAGTGCATCCAAAGGTGTTCTTACATCACATATAAATTAGTAACTTGCACATGTTCATCAAAATATAACATTATTCCTGGATATATAATAGTGTCACCCAAAATATTGTACTGTTCTGAAAAATACAATATCATCCCTGAAAATAGAGTAGCATCTCTTGAAAACAATAACATCCCTAAAACATGTGCATACTAGTAGGCAAAAATATAAGTGATCCTGAAAAATAATAGCGTTTAAATTTAATTTCCTTTAACCCATTCACCCCGGATTTATGTAACCAAATTTAATGAATTTGGTTACATACAGATGGCTCCACATGTGCTCAGCCGGCAAGGAGTCTATCAGTAGGCCCTAGTTACCGACCCTGATTTTCCCATTCACTGAATTGGCAGGAAAATTAATACCATTGCTATCGATACTGTTATTATTGTTATTGATGTTATGATTATTAAATTGTCATTAGAATATTTTAGACTATGAAATGATACAAAACACCCTTTCCTAAAGTGAAGGAAAAGGGTAAACAGGTGAAATAGGTAGTTCTTGATAACTAGCTATTTGGTGATTAAGAACTTGTGGAGCCATCTATGTGTAGATACAATAATTAAACGTGTATCAAAGTGGGTATGGCATCTATTCTTGCCATGTGGGGCAAATGGGTTAATATTATCATTTTCATATATGTATACTAATGTAAAATACCAAAGCATGGCCTAAATAATATGCAAAACTAAGTAAACTTTAAAATCATTACGAATAATATTCATAACATCTATTCACAATAAAATCATTACTTTTTTCAAGATAAATCAAAATAAACAACTTTGGGGGAACATAACTTTAATGGGACAAAACACCTCAATATGTTGATGGACAACTTACCAAATTCTAGGGCATTCTTCTTAAAGTCCAAAAGTATTTAAATAAATAAATAAATCACAGCTAAACCTAATAGGCCTAGTCCTTGTGGAACCAGAGTGAGATGCAATCAAATTCTATTTATTTATTTATTTATTAATTTACTATTATTATCTCACCCTCCACATGCTAAATACTGTGTTAAAAAATAACAGAAAATGGCATTCATGTATGTAGAAATATGTTTACTAAATATCTGTGACTAAATATTTTCTAAACAACTTACTAAAAACTACAAACTAAAATAAAAATTCTGTTGATAACCTAAAATAATGATTTTCACAGGGCAACTTCAAAGGGGGCAGATTGCCTAAAATATTAAAGGGGCCTTGTCCCCTAAGATATTAAAGGGGCCTTGTCCCCCATATATTAGTGCTTCATTTTTTTTCTTTAGTCAAATCTGAACAGGTTTCAAATTACTAATCACAATGATTTCCCTTAAACTAAGCCAGAAAATATAATGGTTGATTTGCACCAAATTCTTTTCTTAAACAGTTTCCTGTTAGGGTGATTAGTCACTTTTTATAATAGAAAGGAAGACAGTACAGCATTAAGAGCACGGATTGACATGGCAAATAATAACATCACAAGCTAAGAAAAAATATCCTAAAACCAGCACTGACACATCAGTATATCTTACAAACTCATATAATTTTACCCTTCATTTTACAGAGTACTAAAATCCATCTTACACATTTAGAAAATAGAAGGTGCACTAAATTAACCCCACATTCATTACCTTAACTTAGCAGAATCCTCAAAGGGATGCTTGAGGTAACAAAGATAGTACAAGATACATCCCAGGGCCCACACATCTGCTTGTCCATTGATAGGGTAATTACTCCATGTGTCTAGCATCTCTGGGGCACGGTACATTGGCGTTGTGTGCTGCGCCATCTGGAAACAGTCAAGATCATCAATACCAGGGATGTACAGTGACTTAAGAAATGCTGAATAACACTACAGTGGTAAATATATTTTAAACTAAATGACTTGATCCATAACATACTTTGATTTCTATAAATATCTTTAATAAATATTGAATAAAAATCAAATTCACACATTTACCTATTGTCATAAATTAAGAGAATTAACCCATATAAAAAGAGATTTACAGATGCTCTAAAATGATTACAAAAAAAGGGCTACCCATTACCCATATCTTGCCCAACTTACCTCTTCTTCTAGTAACCCTCGTTGGTTTGCACTCCAGCCAAGGTCAACTTCATACATTTTTGTCATCGCAGATCCAAAGTCGCATAATTTGATATGACCAGATTCACTTATGAGTAGGTTTTCTACTTTTAGATCGCGGTGAGTTATGGGTGGATTTTGCGCCTGTCAAACAAAAAAGTTTGCCATTCATTAGGCAAGGCTTACTATTAAAAAAAAATTACAGATGTTAGTGTATATTTCCACACAATGCACAATTACAGTTATCAAATCTTTGCACTACAGCCATTACAAAGAATACTTTTAGCTCAATACTCAGCCCTTCAGCATTATGAACTCCAGAAATACGATAAAAATAAATTAGGAAAAATCTAATCTACATTTCAATACAGATATTATTGAAGAATTGTGTGACAAGCCAACACAAAGTTATATGTAACCAACATTCATGCAACTGTTTTAAAATGTCTTGAATTCAATATTACATTTTCCAAGCCAAGCAGTACTTCACCAGCAATCATTTTTATATTTATACTTATACTAAATAGTGCTAAAAGCAAGGTGCCATGGCAGAAAACTCCAAGGCACAAAACAAAAACACATACTTGCATGTGCTGGACTGCTCTGGTGGTCTGGTACATGATAGTGGCAACCTGTGGCACCGACAGCTGTTTGCCATTCAGGAGGCGAAGAGCATCCACAAGAGATCCTCCTGTGCAAGTTAAGAATGTGGAGGAAACACCATGAACATCATTTTTACGAGACAAAAACGAGATATCTTTTAGGAAAGAATTCTGGCAAAATCTATACAGAATAATAAGTCCCATCACAATTATTTTCACCTCAAAAACTTTCCTTTCTGAGAGAGAAAAAAAAGAACTTACCTGTACATAGTTCACTGAGCAAAAGGAACTCATTACGATTTTCTTTACTCTGGGTTTTATCAATGGCTGCAGCAGCAATAAAATCTACAATGTGCGGATGCCCCGAAAGTTGTTTTGATATTGTTATTTCTTGCCGAATTGCATCACAGGCAACCTGATCTGCACCAAGCAGTCGCTGAGAAATATTTGAAAAACAAGCGATTAACAAAATATTCTCATCCTCAAATCTTAATCAAGATATTCACAAGATACAACAAGATTTCTGGTCTATAAACAGTCTATTTTTGACAAATAATTTGATCCATCTATGTGTATATCTTAGTGTTATAATAATCAAAGCTATATCACCAAGTGGCTGAACTAGCTTATATTTCCTTTAAATTAGAACAAAAATTTACTTGAACATCAAAGAGGCTTTTTCACACAACTAAAAATATCATAATTCAATGGAGTATCATAATCCTACCTTCAAGGCATAGGTTTTGCCATTGCTGAGATCTTGTGCAACATACACAAATGCAAAACCACCTGTAAATAAAGACACAATTTGATTAGCAGGCACATAGGCTATCCCTGATTCTGATGCCTATTGCTATATCTAATGATATTTATTATGTTAATCTTATTTCTAATGTCTACGGTATGGCTCTGAGCATATGAACAGGAAACACCACATGAGACCTGGTACACATGTGGGGGGTACTTCCTGGCAGCAGGGAAGGGTAGGGAGGTGATAGTTGGGTTTTAGCAGAGCTGCCAAATTCACAGATGCAGGAAGGAGGAGAGTGGTAACAGTTACTATCACAGCATTGCCATCTCTATGTAGATAATATTGGCCTAATGCAGACTGGTGGGGAACAGAGGAATTCTTCAAAAGGCTTTGCTTCTAGAAAGTCACAAATGAGAAGTGAAGGACATGTAGTGAGGAGTGCAGGCAAATATTAAGTCAGTGGTTTCAGACATGGGCTGGGTGGGAGGCTTTTCTTTCTCTCTTTCTTTCTTTTTCTCTCTCTTTCTTTCTTTCCTTCTTTCTTTGACACAGTGATATCCAGATGCAATCATCTTTTGAATTATTACTGAAAAAAAAAATATATCCTACACATCTATACTTAAATACTAAAATACCAAAAAAACAAGTATGAGTCTGTGCACACAGAGACTAAACACTCAAGAAGGACAGCCAAAATACCAGCCCAAACAGGTACAGGTAACGAATAAGCACTGCACTAGTTATCACTACCTTTGCAATCCTTACAACCACAGAAATTCATATTAGCCCAACAGCATTTACTTGTAAAAGATAACACTGATTTGGTATCTTCAATCATTCACCTCTCATTTCCTAACCATCAACAAAATCACACATCTATATCACTCACATCACAACTATCACCCTTCCCTCCTTCACCTGTAATTCCCTCATCCAATATGGATAACTTACCTGTAGCCAGAAATTAACCAGCACACATCATACACTAATCAGTAGAAAGAAATAATTTAAACCCCCAGTAATTTACTAACACCCTCAAACTTTGATGGGATCATTCAATAACATTAAATATCATTAAAATTGCTCCAATTCTCAATATTGAGTTTCATATACCATTCATTTTCATTTGAAAAGCAATATGTGGGCACTTCAAAAAGTCTGTGGAAAAAGTCTAAAACAAAAAATCATACAAACGGATTTTGATTTTAATGTACCTGAACATTCTTGAATAAAGTGTTAAAAAAAAACACAAAAAAACATGAAACCTTAAATGCAGGTAGTAACGCCAGTTGGAAGTCAGGCACCATTCCAGCAACATGGAATCCACCAAAATTGAGGCCATGATAAAGATTAAATTCATAAATAAAGCCCCAAAGAAATCAACAACCTGCAAGTGGATAAGTCAGTTCAGAAGTGGAAGAAACAAAATTGAAGATGAGCTCCACAGTGGCAGGCCTTCAATGTCAGTTTGTGAGAAAAACCTTGATGTTGTTTGTGACATGATTGAAAAGGATAGACGAATAACTACTGAATGAGTTGTGGGTTCTGCACACACAATTCTGGTGGAGAGTTTGAGGCTGAGCAAGCTTTCTGCTCGATGGGTCCCTAGGCTGTTGTGCCCAGATCAGCAGCAAACATGGTGAGATCTTTCAATGGAAATTTTTAACAAGTGGGATGAATATTCTGAAGCTTTTCTGCAGAGCATTGTGATGGGATGAAACATGGATCTCCAGTACGATCCCAAGGACAAAATTAAATCAAAGCAGTGGCTGCCCAGGGGTGGAAGTGGACCAGTCAAGAGGAAAGGTCATGGCCACTGTCTTCTGGGATGCAGAGGAGAGTTTGCTGGTTGACTTCCTCAAGAGCAAGAAAACAATTACATCTGCTTATCATGAATGCGTTTTGAGAAAACTGTCCAAAAAAATCTCAGAAAAATGCCCTGGAAAGCTACATCAATGCATTCTCTCCCACCACGACAATGCATCTCTCATGTTGCTCAACAGACAAGAGCTGCGTTACGTGAATTTCGATGGTAAATCGTCCAACATCCACCTTACAGTCCCAATTTAGCCCCATCTGATTTCTTGTTTCCAAACTTTAAAAAATCATTGAAAAATACCAATTTTTCATCATTTGAAGATGTAAAAAGAGCTGCTCTGACATGGTTCGGATCACATAACCCTCAGTTTTACTCGAATGGACTTCACTGCCAACATATGGCCCAAAATACAAGCATTATGCCAACTTAAGTACCCTATTTATGGGTATGTGGCTTGTAGGCTAGGCACACACAAATACTCATAACTGGTGAGAAGACTTCAGGACTCTGCCTTGCAACGTTATGTTCTCTTTTTTCTGTGTAAGTATTTTTAGCTAATTTGCAAATTTCCAATGTCTATATTTATTAATTGATATCCTTTATCCAAATGATAATAGACTGTTTTCCTTGCAAACATTTCCTATCATATCCCAAGGTAGTCGATAACTCTGTGCAAGAATAACAATAAAAAAAAAATAACATTTTGATATTTGTGTTATTTTAATTTTCTCATAATATTCAATTTTCTGTAATACACCCTGCGTTGCCCGTCACAGTGGACAGGAAAAGAATCCTTTTAGCAAGGGATTCTTCCAGTCAGGCTCACAAATTTAACATCCTGCACTCATTTATAAATGGAAATATTGCAAAAGCCACTTCCTTAACCCATTGCTGACGGGCATGCCATGCCATACCCACTGTGAGTTTACTTATTTGATTGTTTTTACACATAGATGCCTACATTTGTACTAAGCCACCAATGAGCCAATTACGAGTACTGCTTGTCTCACCCGTTCGCCCTTTTCTTTAATTTTCGAAAATATTTTATGTTATCTAAATTTGCTATTACTAATGTTTATAAAATTATAGTAATTATAATGCTTATAATAAAAATAACAACATTGATATTACAGTAAAACCTGAGAAAACCAGACCCTGAGAAAACCGGATCACTGTCCATTCTGGACGATATTCTCAGTCCCTTCCCATTTCAATAGGCGGCCTGTGTTAAAAGCCCACCCTCTCACTGTCCAAACCAGACATTTTTTACAGTCCCATGGGTGTTCGGTTTTCTCAGGTTTTACTGTAATAGCACTAGTAAAAAATACATTTCCCTACCAATTCAAGGTAAGGTGAAATCAGGTAAGGCAGAGCCATCTACGTGTAGAGACATTTCACAAAAAAAATATAAAAAATAAGCACAGCATTTTCCCAATTTTCTATTCATTTTCCCTGGCGGCAATGGGTTAATGCCCATTGAGCCTGAGATTTGTGTACTCATTCCCATTAACTCAGCCTTCAGCCCAAATTCTCGTGATGGCAAGTTACGGCACCCCAGGCCTCAGCCCAGATTCTCCTATGATGGCAGGGTCACGTGATGGTCACCTCATTCGGATCATAGGGGTAATTAACTCATTGGATCCAGGTGCCTCAATCCCCATACACAGCCTAGAACCCTGGTATTAGGCTTCCTTATATGAGTCATTTTTAAACATTTTTGCATTATCAAATTTTCTGTAACACTGTTCCACTGGTAATGACAGGCAGGAATAGGATCATAAGAATAGAAATTGTGTCTTCCCATCAATGGCTCATGGACGGTACATTCCCTCCTCATTTGCCGATGAAAATAATGCAAGAACCCCTTCCAAACTACTACCCGAGTCTTATAATTTTTTCTGTTTGATTTGTTCTCATCGCCCAGGGCTTCGGGCAGATTTTCATGATGGGACATTCCTGTTATCCATTCCCATTACCCACCCATCAGCCAAATTTCAAATTCATGTCATCCAGATCCAGTGGGTTTGAAATAACTTGTTCCTCATAACCCCATCATTGCATTACCTATTAACCCTATGCAGACGGGCATGGCATGTACTTATATGCCATGCCAATTGTGAGTTCACTTGTTTAATTGTTTTTACACATAGATGGCTACACTTGTACTAAATCACCAATGAGCCAGTTACGAGTACCGCCTGTCTCGCCCATCCACCCTTTTCATCGATTTACGAAAATATTTAACATTATCTTATCTATCTGTTACAAATGTTTATAACTTTATAGTAATTATAATATTTATAATAAAAATAACACCATCTATATTTATAGTACTAGTAAAAATACGTTTTTTGCGCCAATTAAAGGAAAGGTGAAATCCTGCATGGCTAAGCACTAGCAGAGCCACCTAGTAACAGGGACACATCACAAAAATATAAAAAAGGAGCACAGGATTTCCCACATTTTTTATTCATTTTCCCCGTTGGGAAACGGTTAACAAAAAAAATTGCAATCACAACTAACTCTGCTTGCACACTAGCCTACGCTTCACAGTTATCTAACTAATGCTTTCTCAATTCTTGGACATAAAATAAAACATATTTAAAGAAAAAAAACACCCAGAAAACTACAGCAGTTTTTGGGTATATAACCATCACATATTAACCCAAAGCCGCCAGGGAAAATGAACAAAAAATGGGGAAAATGCTGTGCCCACTTTCTATGTTTTTCGTGAAATGTCCGCCTGATTTGAAATGGCGGGAAAAACGTATTTTTCACTAGTGCTATGAAAATCTATGGTGTTATTTTTATCATAAACATTATAATTATTATAATGTTTTTTAAGATTGGTAACAGCAAAATAAGATAACGTAAAATATTTCGTAAATCAAAGAAAAGGGTGAACGGGTGAGACAGGCAGTACTCGTAACTGGCTCATTGGTGATTTAGTACAAGTGTTGCCATCTATGCGTAAAAACAATTAAACAAGTACTCACGGTGGGCATAGCACGTACGTACACATCATACCCGTTGGCATTGGGTTAAGTAAACAGTACATGAAATTGAGCAAGCAAAAACGACACTTCTACAATATATCTCTAAATGAAAATTTTAAAAAATTCTAATATAGAAATGACAACTAATCACATGTAGTGTTACATTTGCCTGTAAAAATATCAATAAAAATAAAGAGTGCAGCCATATCAACCTCTACTACTGTATGGTGGCTATGGTGGATTTTCCCCCAATAACAATGGGTATAGGATTGGGGGGGACCTTCTTTCATATTGGTTAATCTTTACTGTATGGACGCACAAAGTTAGTCGTCATTACAAATAATAACCTGTAGACATGATTGCAGAAAGCACCATTTCAGATCTATCTTTACCAAGATAAAGACAATGTTCCCAGGGGGTGTTGGGGGGCAGAGCACCCATTAACCATCCTCTTGGACAATACCCAAAGGGCATGCCCAGTCACAGCAATTTAGGTTGTGAATTAACTCTGTGACATGGGATTGGGAACTTAGTCTCTGGCAATTTGTGTCCATACTAATTACCTTCATATATTACTCCATGATTTTAATATACTTCATACCCTTCCCTGCTATCAGGCGCAGTTTCTGGAGTATGGGGCGTCCCAAAGTATTAATTCCTAAACATATGAATACTATAGGCTAACAGCAATATATCGTTGCTACTATCATAGTATCTGGCACTGCAACCCAATCTTTCCTTCAGCCTATGTCCTCCCAAAAAAATTTAATCTTCCTATTGGCATAGATGTCATGCGCCACAAGGGAAACTAAAACCTACATAAATGAATGAGCTTTTGCAGTGGTCTCTGGTGGACGACATGGAACAGGAAGCCTCTCATGATAGTGGCATCAAGTTATCAAAGCAGAGTTATCAAAGTTATCAAGTTATCAAAGCAAAGTTATCAAGCATCAAATTATCAAAGCAGAATTATCAAAGTTATCAAGTTATCAAAGCAGAGTTATCAAAGTTATCAAGTTATTAAAGCAGAGTTATCAAAGTTATCAAGTTATCAAAGCAAAGTTATCAAGCATCAAGTTATCAAAGCAGACTCCATACTACGCACTCCGCTAACAGACAAACAACCTCCATTTGTAATTTAGCAAGATCAAGCTCATTAATTTAGGTGATAATAAATCAGTTACATCTGAATTCCTTGATTTTTAAAAGTCTAAAGTAATTGCAAGATATATAGAAAGAAATATTGAAAGAATATAGAAAGAAATATAGAAAGAAATATTGAAAGAATATAGAAAGAAATATAGAAAGTAGTATTGAAAGAATATGGAAAGAAATATAGAAAGTAGTATTGAAAGAATATAGAAAAAAATATAGAAAGAACTATTGAAAGAATATAGAAAGAAATATTGAAAGAAATATCACATACTTAGACCATAACAAACTGTACAAAGGCAATTCAGCAAATCTAGCCACATATCTAAAAGACGTGGCTGAGCCTTTTCACAAATTTTACAACAGGATCGTTGTAAATTAGCCACAGAATAGCTTAAAACAGCAAGAAAAATGGAACTTGAGTGTGAAAATAAGACCCCCAGAAGCGTCCTTCCCTTTAACCTTCAAAAGTTCCTTGACTCAAATATCCTCACTTCTCTCTCTCTCTCTCTCAACACTAGGGCTAAAAAAACACACAATTACACTGTCAAAATACCGTGAAAAATCATTTATAACTTAAAATAAATTAAATAAACATCCAACTTAAGATAAATTCTCTCCCTTTCCATAGGATGGGGATGAACTCGCTCACCTTCGGCTATTTGTTTCTTTATTCTGAGTTTAATGCCGTTGATTTCGACCTCCTGACCCACGAAGTCGTTGTCGGAGGCGGTGCCATTGGACCCTAAATACCCGAAGGCGCTCTTAAAAAGGTCGGCCATCCCGAAATCAAGAGGAAATTAGGAGGAAAAGGTCGCGTCTCGGGTTCGCTTCTTCATGACAGGTCCT